TTTCAGACTTTTCTTACAAACCAAAGCACCAACCAAAACAATGAAACTGAAGAAGCATACATATGACCAAAAGTTAACATATTTCCCATAATCTATGAAGAACCGAAGTTATACACTTAACTTTAGCCAAACCAAACTATAATCCTTTCTAACAGGAAAGTTTTCTTTTCTGAATTAGGAAGGAGGTAAATTCACTCACAGCCCAGATACGGGGGGCAATTTAGTGTGGTTAACACCACAAGCTTCTGGATGCAGAAAGCCTAGGTCAGAATCCCTCCTTCATCATTTACTAAGTATATCTTGGGCAAATTTTTCAACCTGTGAAGCACTTAGAACACTGCCTGGGACGAAACAAGCATTTGGCAGATGCAGGGCTGTGGCACACCTCTAGATATCTGCATCACCTGGAACATTATCAAAAATTCAGAATCTCAGGTCCAATCCCAGATCTGAATTGAGTCAGGACCTGTCTTTTTATCATGATCCGCTTATGATACGAACGCAAACTAACATTTGAGAAGCACAGTTAGAAAGTATTTCTACATCATACTCTATGAGATGTTACTTATTATAAATATTTTTTTTAAAAACTACTCCATTACTTTTCTGCAACTTGAAGAAGTTACACCGATCTTTAGTAAAAGGCAAAGCATTATTTTGGGATCAAAATTCTTCCATTAGTGATTTCTTACTTTATTCAAAGGCAATACCTGCTGACGCCGAAAGTTGTAGAGCACTGCCATCTAGTGGCAGTTCGTTCTGTGCACGTACAAAACACACCTCCCACTGCCTTCCCAGATTTTAAAACATGTTTGTTTGAAACAGGGGTGGGGGTGGGGGCGGCAGGAGCGAACAAAAATAAATTAAAAATTAAAAATAAATAAAATAAGATGAAATAGTGCTAGGGTTTTTTCTTTTTTTAGGCGTAATTACTTCTTTGAGGACTACTAACATGATTGCCCAACGTAATAATTCAACAAAAAACCAAATGAAATACAGAGGAAGGTATAAAACAAAAATTTTTGTTTCTTTTTCAAACTCAGATCAAATCTAGGAAAGTTTTCAAATTGAAAGAATGACCAGAAGAGGCGCACATTAAACACACACAAGAGACATCAGACTTAGAAAATGGGCTTTCTCTTGAAATGTGCACATCTTGAGGGTGACTTTTACTTTCTTCTTCCTCTGTTCTGTACTTTTCACTATTTATACAGTACTCAAGGAAGAAAGCTACTTTCAACTTGAGAAAAAAATATTGTACAACTGTCTGACTTAATGACTTAACTTCTCCATCCTATCCTAAGGAAATAATCAAGAAATGTTGACAAAGATTGATGAGCAAAAATGTTCATCTCAGCAAACAAAACTTAATTTTAATAGCATCATAATAACCCACTGAATCAACGCATTGATACTTAGTCATTATCCCCATCACTCATTTAGATCACTTTTAATTTCACTATATTGCACATAAACACATATATGAACATACAGAAGGAAGGAGGGGAGGAGAGGAAGAGGGAGGAAATAATTGATGTGACTTTTCCATATTTTGGGTCACTTCCTAATACACATTCCCATAAGTCACATTACAGCATCTAAGAATATTTTCATAGTTCTTAATAGCCAACCTGGTTTACACAGCATCAGGTTTTATCCTATGGCTGATTTTTTTTTAGCAGCTTTACTGAGATACAATTTACATATTTTAAAGTTCACCTCTTTAAATTATACAACGCCAACAGTTTATAGTGTATTTACAAAGCTGTGCAACCACCACCATAATCTAGTCTTGAAGCATTTTCATCATTCCATAAAACGCCTTATGCCCATTAGCAGTAACTCCCCATTTCTCCCACGAATCCCCAAATACAACTAATTTTTACTAATTGTCTACCCCACAATTTTTCCGCATTTTCTTGTAGATACCTCAATGACATTACATAATTGTTTTAAGCCCATAAATGGAATGATTCCTTCTGCTACTCAGATGTTTCTGTTTCAAACTGTGAAGCGCTTTGCTTCTTAACCACAGGAAAGTAGAACAGTCAGAATGTCCTCTCGTTTCTTTACAATGTACTGTTTAAACGTAAGGCATAATTTCAGAGCTAAGAGAAGGAAGGCACCATATAGGCACAGAGTTATCCACTCTTTTCAAAACTAGCAGCAACCATCACCGTAAGGGAGGAAAACATTTTCCTTCCCCATCACAGGTTCACAGCTGAGGTCCCTGGAACAAAAGACAGAGTAACAAGAAAAACATACAAATTTATTTAGTATAAATTTTATGTGGAATAGGAGCCTTCATAAGAAAATGAAGACCTGAAGAAACAGTTAAGCCTGTGAATTTTTATGCCAGTTTGATGAAGAATTGGATCGTCGTAGAAGAAATATGACAGAACGCAGGCAGCAGGATCTAACGGCACTAAACGGGGGACGTCAGCAAGGTCTGTTCAGACTCTTCGTGGTGACCCTTCATCTTGAGAGACTGGGATACTCCTCTCCTCTGCATACAGGGGGGCACCTCTCACAGGAGGGGCTTACTCGCTGCAGGGAGGTCAGGCAATTCTTCCTACGTTTTACAACCTGCTTCAGGGGAGGAGGTTGGGGGGAAGACGTGAGTTACCTTTCTGCTTCTGCCATTTTCTTCAATAAGCCCAGGTGTCATATTTTAGAGTAACATGTCCTTAACCCCATCACATTACTTTGGTTTTTTTTGTTTCTGTTTTGTTCTGTCTTTGCTTTTTTTAAAAAAATTGAAACAAAATTTTACAGTGTAAAAAAATAATATTAATAAAAAAATAAACATAATTGTACATATCTGTGGGGTACAGAGTTGAATATTAATTCCTGCTATCACATTAATTTGGAAGTTTATTATTAAATCCAGCCAAAACATTACACAAAAACAAGGAATTTCTTTATTTTAATTAACTTAATCTGAAAATAAAATTAAAAGTATAGTGCAATTTATGTAAGATAACATTTGACATGTGATCCAAGAATTGTTGTGATGCTACCAAAAAAAAAAACAACTGACTTTTATTTAGCCAAAGCACTTTTTTCTCATACAATTTTCTGTACTACAGATGTATGAAATTTAGCAATTTGCTTTTTGGGGATTTGGTAGGGGAAAGAGAATTGAAAACAGCTAATTAAACAAGGGAGAACTAGGTTACTCAATCATGTCAGGCATTTTTTTAAAAGAACAGTGAAAATCAGTTCTAAAAGCTGAGGGTGGGAGGGGACACTTCACTGATAAAAATTAGCCTCATGCTGTGGTTTGAATGTGTCCCCAAGCTCATGTTGGAACTTAACTCCCAATATGGTGGTGGAAGGTGGGGCCTTGAAGAGGTGATTGGATCTCAAGAACTGTGCCCTCATGAGTGGACTGGTCCATTCATGGAGTAATGGGCTCACGGTTTAATGGGTTGTCGTAGGCATGGTTCTGATGGCTTTATAAGGGGAGCAAGTGAGAAGGTTAGCTCTCTCTTTCCTGCAATTCTTGCCATGTGATACCCTGCGTCATCAAGGGACTGCATTTAGCGCCAGCACCAAGAAGACTGCCCTCACCAGATGCACCCCGTGAGCCATGGACTTCCCAGCCTCCAAAACTGTAAGAAATAAATTTCACTTCTTTATACATTACCTAGTTTCAGGTATTCTGTTATGAGCGATAGAAAACTGACTAATACAGCCTCTCATCTAAATCTTAGATCTTTCTCTCCTCTCTTCTAACTTTAGACGTCTACCATATCCCTCAATCCAAACATTCCTGTTACTCAAGTTAAGCAAGTTTGCAATCTAGCCGAGTGTTTTGTTTCACATCACTCTAGTTGCACAAAACGTTCATTTGCACATCACCACCAAAAACATCCCTGATGGCTAACTGATATGCCCAAATTCATCTATGCCTTGTCTTTAACTATGTATAAAAAAACTGAGTTCACACAAATGAAGGATATTTTCAAAATAAAGCCATTTTCCCATGTCGTGAAAGAAAAATATAATATAGGTAACCTCTTTAATGCAATAGAAAGCAATAAACTTATAAAAACATCATCCCCAAAAGAGCTAAAATATTATAAAATCCCTAACATATGCTCTGCTGGTGTGCGTGTACATACCTACACACACACACATACACACCAGTCACAAAATCACACAGGTAAGTGCCGGTACCTGTCTTCCTGTCCTCAAACCAGCACCTCTACTACCCTGACATGGTACAGTGAGATAAGCTGTCTCATAAATAAGAACCCTTTCACACCAACAGCAACAGTGCACACAAGCAAGCACCAAGCCCTGGTGATTCCAGAAGCTCTGGGACTGGGTGAGCACACTGCAGGTAGCCCTTTTGCTAATTAGAAAAAGAAGCACCTCAAGGTAGGAGGAACCCAGTCTCCGTGAGCTAGCACAAGAGGCACTCTTTCCTCTAGGTAGATTTATTCCAAGCCAGAGAGCACCATTTGACTAGCAGGATCATGTCTAGATTTCAAACCCCCACTTGTCCCCACTTCCAGCTGCCCTTGTGCAGAAACAACTCGCACGACTCTGTGCAGCAGCCTTGGAGGTAGGGAGGGTGAAGAAAGGCGTTTGCAGCTTCACCCTGCCTGCAGCAGGTGTAGCAGGGACCCCTGTCAATGAGAAAGGCAGCCATTCATTCCAGTGACAGAGCCAGGCCCACAGTTCCACCACAAAAAAAGTTCAATTTCAGTCAATTTATATTTAAAAGATAAAATCTGTAAAAAAAAAAAAAAGGCAGTTTTAGAAATATTTCTGCATATCATATAAAAGTGCTGGTTATGTGAAAACCAAACACATCCAATGTTTAAAGTTTTCTTTTTTTGTTATTTTGCTTGAGTACTTGGATACAAATCTTTCAATAAAATATCTATTTTAATTCTGAGATTCAAACCACGTAATCCTCCATTTTTATACAACCAAATATTCTAAATCTGTCACTTGAAATAGTACGCCCATGACTAAAAGTAAATTACCTTTTACACCACCAAATGATCCGTAAGTCATATTGCAGGCTGTTCTCTGAAGATTATGTTCATACATCAATTTGATCTGATATTGGTTCCCATGTTCCACATTACCCAAAGTTCCTAAGGGGAAAAAACAAAAGGATTACTTTGTATTTGTTTACATTAAAAAATATTAATTTCTTCTCATCCTCTACACCAATTCTAAGTAATTAAATTTCAGTAAAATTTAAAATGACAAAGCACTAAAAATATTATGTATTATGAACAATTAGCATACTGATGACACAGAAAGCCAGCACAGTTAAAACAATTTAAGTCTCAGCTAGATTATACCATTAGAAGAAATTCTACCCTGGGGGACACTTTATTACCTATTTCCATTAGACAGACTACATCTGAGTAAAGTGTAATTGTTTAAATAACAACAAAACCTTCCAATTTCAATTATGAAATAAATGAGGTTAAGTTCCTTGCATTTATAAATACTAATAGAGCAAAGAAATGACTCAAAGTGTCTAAGGAAAAAATTCCCAACACTCACAAACAATTCATTTTCCTGCCTCAACTTTCAAAATACTCAAGCCCCTAATATTTTATATTCTAATTTAATGGAGAGATCTTCTAAGCTTCCCTCAGCAAGTAAACAGGACAATGTGTTTTATCTGAAGTCTGCCAAGAAGAATCCCCTTCAAAACAAAGAAAAATACTCTCTCTGCATTTAACAGAATGTAAGTACTACAATCACTTTCTAGTTCTTTCCAAATAAAAAAAAAAAAAATTCTTTATCTGTATTTTAACCTCTGGTACTAAGCTTTTGTAAGAGAGTACTTAGAATTATAGCATAGCTCAGTGATGAGGCAAGAACATTATGAGTAAAAGAGGTGTTAGAAAGAAAAAAGGATCCAGAAAGCAATTTTTCCATAAAGAAGCATCTTTGCCATTCATTCATTCATTCAAAATGCAAAAGTTAAAGAAAATTTTTAACTTTCATAAATCAAAGGAAATAGTCTCCAAAAGGGTAGTATTTGATCATTAAAGCAATCTAAATGTATTTACATGTATATGTGTATATATGTGTGTGTATAATGTATACACATATTTTTATATGAACATTTATTTAATTAGGTTTGTTTGTTTTTGTCCAGAAGGATTTCCTAACATACACTGAGGTTATAAAAATATTTTACCTCCATTTTAGAATTGAAGCATGTTAAGTTCAAAAAAATTTTTAAGAAATTTCCCCAAAATCACAGAGCTGATAAAGGACACAACACTCAAAGCAGATTTAGAAGCAGGCACGACATATCCTGGTGCCTGGCTGTCCTCCATTTAACAACTTTCAGGGAACTTGGTCCTCCACCCAGTAAAGGTTATACCTTCTGTGGGTATTGCCAATAACAATTTCCCAAAAGAAAGTAGCATCAATAATATAAAATTTTCAGTGAAGGGTGCCAGAAGATGCCACCTCAAAATAGGCCTTTTTAGCCTGTGGATTATTTTGAGCTAAAGGCTATTGAGAAAGAAAACACCCTGAAAATAGGGTACAAGTTTTCCTTTTATAAAGGAAATTTAGATTTATAAAGGTAATTTCCATGTATACAGAGTCTCCCTCTGCAGTACAGGAAGAAGAGGACTCAACCCTCATCAGTGGAGAAGGCTCTGACTTAAATCTACAAAATAAAACTAACTAAACGACCCTTGTTTACTATGCTTTTCCTGGTCCCCTTCCCATAACTTGCCTTCCCCATCCAGAAACCCCAAACCCACTTTCTTTTGTTTAGCCTAAAATGGTACTAAAGCCCAAGTGCTAATGCACTCATCGCTGGACACTGCCAGTGTCCACGTGCAACGCACACATTAATAAACTTCTGCTTGTTTTTCTCTTGTTGCTTTGTCTTTAGCCAGTTTAGTTTACAGGCTCTGGCTGGAGAACTTAAGATAGGTAGAGGAAAAGATCTGTTTGCTCCCTACACCACTTGCACCTTTCCCAGCCTGGCCTTCCCTCTCCCTCTACAAGGTGAAGGGTTGTGTGAAGTTAAACTATGTTTGTTCTGAAGATGCTCCTGTACCCTGAGTTCCCACATACAGCAAACAAACAAAAAAACAGCAACCTAACTTAGTACATAAACAAGCAAAGCCTAACAGGAGTAATCTCAGCCAATCACAGAAGCCAAACCTTAGAACTTCAGCCAATCACAGGTGGCCAACTGGTCAGACCATGTTCAAATAAGGCAAATGCCCAGCTGTAACCAATCCAGCTGTTTCTGGACCTCACCTCTGCTTTCTGTCCATACAGCTGCCTGCCCACATTGAGGACCAGAGCTCTTTGAAATTTCTTCTGTTTCTGAGAACCTCCCAATATCTAAATCATTCCTTGCTCAATTAAACTCTGTTAAATTTAATGTACCTAAAGTTTTTCTTTTAACAGCAAAGAGGAAAAACTAACAAGGGAGAATTTCTTGGAGGAGAATCACTTCTACTCAGTTCCATTTCCCAGGAAATGGTAACAGGAGATCTCCCCTACTGCAAATTAAGTTTGTCCTACAGGTTTTTTTAGACATAACCTAACTTGATATGTAAATGGACTCTAATCTACTCTTACAACAAGTAGCTGAGTCTCAGCCAATCACTGGCAGACAGCTGTTCAAACCAAGTTCAGATAAGGCAAACGCCCAGCTGTAACTGATCCAGCTGTTTCTGGACCTCACTTCCGCCTTCTGTAGGTCACTTTCCTTTTTCTGTCCATAAATGTTATGGGAACACGGTGTAGCCCTGTAGCCCAATAGTCACTTTGAACCTGTTCTAGTTCTGGGGGCCACCCAATTCTTTGCTCAATTAAACTCTGTTAAATTTAATTTGTCTAAAGTTTTTTGGTTTTTGTTTGGTTTTCTGTTGTTTTAATAATGCCAATGGGACTAAAAAAAAAAAAAAAGCAAAGAGAAAGACTCAAATTTGCTAGCTGACCCTTTTAGGAGACGAAGGTTTTTTGGAATCTAAATGGTAGTAAAATCGGTGAGGTGTGAGGAAACTGTGGGGTAATCACAACCAAACCAGCCATATGGGCCAAAAAAAACGAAAGAAAGAAAGAAAACCCTAGCTAAATAACTTACCACATTAACTTAAAGAGAGTTCGGCCTACATATCATAAGAGGCTGAAGAAATCAAAGACAGAATAGAAATGAGGCGGGGCATAAGGGAACGTAGTTTGGAGAACTCTCGTCCCCAGAGAATACAAAGCTTTTTAAATGAATACAAAAAATAAAAGAGCAATAAAACCACCATTCCCATGGCAAATAACTTTCATTTCAACACTTATTTGAAGGAAGATACCAATGTCCCATAAACAAATTGTCACCAAACATGCCAGCTTCTTTCAGTGGGCTTTTTTGATAAGCACGCATCTTATCCCTAGTCTATGCCCTAAGGCCCAATGGAACTCTACAAGGTCTGTCTTGTGGGCCATACATAGTTCTAATCAGGGAAGGCCAAGAGTCTAATCTAATTTCTAGTTCCTAAAATGCCCCTCCCCTCTGCCCTGCTTAGAGCCCCCATGGAGCCTCCAGAAGGGACTAATTTCCCCAAGAAGTACTCAGGATGACTGTAACTGTGGGCATTTACAGACCTCCTCCCTGGCCTGTGTAACTCAGTAAAATATCAGTGGCAGTTAACAAACAGGCTTGTGATCAAAACAGAGCAACAACTAGATCCATGCAATAAAGTAGCCTATATCATACCTTCTGCATTTATTCTGGAATACCAAGTATATGCCCTATCACTACAAGGAACAACATCTTTTACCATGAAACCAATTAGAATGCACTCTATCAGGCCTCCGATATAAAAAGTGGAAAAGAAAACGACAGTTGTAACAGAGAAGGAGAAGAAAACAGCACATGGTGATGAGTAATAAAGAGCCTCAACACTGCCCAGAAATGTGTTCACTCATTCATCCAACAAGTTCTTACTGGAGGTCCACCATATACCATATGCCAGGTTACCAAGCCTGCTTTAGAAATCTAACAGATCTTTACCCCAAAAAGAGATTGCCCAAGAATACCCAGCTCAGTGATAGTAAATATGAATCATTACTCACATTGAAAGCAAAATACAAAGAAAGCCCAAATCAAGAGAATGAGTCTGAGAAATCCAAATCCTAGAAGCTAATATTAAGAGCAAACTCCAAAGGAGAGCATCTTTTGTATAAGGAATTACCCCACAGACACTTGGCTATATCACACCATTAAAAATTTCCCCAATACTGACATCCATAAAAATAAGTCTCAACTTGAACTAAAATTTATCTAACAACAGAAATAAAAAATTTTAAGTTACCTTTTAAACTTAATAAGGGCCAAAATGCTGAGACCAAACCGTAATTAACTACTATACTTGAACCACATCATTAAATGAAATCTGATTAAACCTCAAAGTAAGTGCCTTGAAGTCTGGTTGAGTGAAGACAACCAAAAGCCAAGAAATTGGAACTGTAAAGAGAAAACACTTTAGGTTCACTAAAGAAAATGTATTTCAAACCACTATGACTCAGCATCTAGTGAATTTTGTTGTTACTGTTGAACATTTAAGTCTCAAATGTCCTAAGTACCCAGGATTGACCTCTATTAGTCATAGGCAATCCTGGACACAATTCCTGGGAGGAAGAAGATTATAGGGTACTGTCTGCTAGAAATATAAGTACACACAGAAACAATAGACCAGGAAAATGTAAATTGCGTAAGCATCTGAAAGAATAAACAAACAATGGGAAATGCTAGCCAAGACAAGGAAATCTTCATGAACATTTGTGTTCACTACCACTTCAGTGCTAGGGAAGATCTACTCTTTTATAATATTAAGAAACTCAGTTTGTAATGTAAATTCTACATTAGAAAAAAAATGTTTCTTACCTGAGACAGAGTAGACACAAAGTTTTCTAGAATGCAACACAGCCAAATAAAGCATTTCAGTACCTCTGAAAAATGGGAAAAGTTTTAAAATTTTTTAAGTATTAGTTTCAGATGTAACAAAATAATTTCCAAAAGATTGCATAATTGCAGCCATTGTGAGTAAACAAAAAAAAATCATTAGATAACATTCTAAACTGAAAAATAAATGTAACAATAAACAGCCAATTTGACAATTCCAGAGATTCAAGTATTCTGCCTCAAGGAGCTGCCTTCAGATTGAGCCTCCAAGAAAGAGTCAGATCTCAGGCCCCTTCATGAGTGCTCTCCCGCAATAAAGAGATCCAAGTTCTGGTTCTGGTTCTTTGACTAATTCACCTGTGACTTTGGGCATGTTGCTTAATCTCCCTGAGCCTGTTTCCCCTTCTGGAATATAAGAGGTTTCAATTAAATGAAATAAAATCACGTGAAAGCCCCTTGTAGGATATAAAGCACCATAAATGCTAATCATTAGTAGTAAATGGCATATATAACTTCCAGCTCTAAAATTTTATTAAAGGTATTGAAAATACTTCAGTTTGGACTAAACCTCAAATGGAAATAAACTACCAGTGTCATCACTATACTTCCCAGTCCATAACAAGTGGTTACCAGACACAACAACATAGCACAGTCTAAAAATCCTAAATTCAGTCTTTAAGAGCCACGCCAGTAGATGTTAATGAGCAAAGGGTGTATATGGCTGTGATTAACTGGAGATTGGGGCTGGATAAGGGAGGTGGCTACTACTTTGTTCTGGGCCTGTGGCCAGATATCCACACTTTTCAAGAAAAACCAGAAAGCAGGGATTTTATGTGAAACCTCCTGTTTCTTAAACGTTGGCAGCTTTTCTAAATTTAAAACACTGTGCAGGCCCACATGTGCAAGCAGGAATCCAGTGTACAACCTGTGACACAAACTCTGTTCTAAACGACAAGGACCCTAACTAAAGTCTGAGACCTGGACTGGGGTTCTGACTCTGCATCTTATTAAATGTGTTATCATTTCATCATTCAGTGTGTTAGTATCTCATTACAAAATAAGAATTGTATTAGATAATATCTGCAAAACATTGGTACAAGGGATATATAAATACTCATCACTCATTCTGCTACCAGAAAATGCAAACGTACACAACAATCACATAACTGATATCATCTTCAAATTTTTTTCATACGTACCCTAGACACTCAAAACAATTTTTCAGGAAAAGGGCATGATGTCATGGAAAGATAGCGAAGTATGGAGTGAGAGAGACCTGGCTCTGAATCTGGTCTGTGTGACCTCAGTCTCTGAGCTTTAGTTTTCCTTCTCTCTAACTGGAGATCATATCTGCCTTACAGATACGAATATTGAGACAATATTTATATAGGCCTATATAAATAGTGGATCCTATCCTACAGGATCCACTCATTAATGTTAATCTCCTCCTCTTCCAACAAATAATCATATAGATGAGAGCTACACTTAAGGACTACTGTCAAGAATGACTGTTGATGGCATTTTACCTTTTTTTGGCAGCTGGCAGTACAGGGATCGAACCCTGGACCTTGGTCTTACCAACACCACACTCTAACCAATTGAGCTAACCAGCCAGCTGCACATTTCATTTTTTTTCAAATGTAAAGATAAAAATGATTTTTAGAAGGAAGAATCCTTTTGTCTCCTTACTTTATAAATCTATACATCTAATACGTGCTAGGTACAGATGGACATCAAATCATCATGTGCTTTTAGATGGTGTAGATATTTCCAACCACATCAATCACAAAATCTGATACAGCCTGTCATATATCCATGCTGCAGCTTCCCAACAGAATGAAACCTATCACTGGAAGAAGGTTCACACTCATGAGTGAGTGATTGGTTTTCCAGCAGAAGTCAGGGCCCCGAAAAAATGGCATGGCATGTGGGGTCAATAAATAATGACGGGCAAATGGAGTGAGCCGAAATCCAGAGCTCAGTGCACTGTCCAGAATTAAAATGGCAAAAGAGGGCTCAGAAAGAGGTTCTGCCTACATGATAACTTTTCACAATACTTCTAAATGATTTAGAAATACAGGCTTAATTTTAAGAAAATTCTGATATGAAAATAAGATAAAATCAGCAATATCATCACTAAAGAAAAAGCAGACATATTACACAAAGTTCACACTGAACAGTTTTCTAAAACAAAGTTTTCTAAAATAAATTAGGCTTAAAAGTAAACTATGTTGAAACAAAGCTCTTATATGGCGAAGACTTACTTTGTGGGTTGAGCTGACTTTTTTCAAGAAACTATGGGACCTCTCTACTCCAAATAAGTGATTTGTTTTAAAATTTCAAGGTTATGAGCCAAAAAGTAATGGCCATCTGCTACTTTGTCTAATGATTTGAACACTTACATAACTTGCATGATTTGTTCTTTACGTAAGTAAATACTTCTATTTCTTCATTTGGTTGTTTTCAAAACCTTATTTCTTTTCCTTTAAGCTTCTGATCTGTCAAGCGTCTTAGGTCTGATACTATAAAAAGAACCTAAATTATTCTATCTTAAATGTACAGGTTTCCACATAAAAAGCATTCAGTATTTGAGGGATGTCTAGGTGATATTATGCAGAAAACGTGTGGAATTCATAGACAGTCTTCTTTGAAGAATCTACAAAAGAGACACAGTAAGGGACTGACACACTCTATGTAAAATGAAATACCAGAATTAGTGGACTTTACTTACGAAAGAAACTTTCCTACTTCCACTTGAAGTATTGGATCTCGTAGATGCACTTCTAGAAGCAAATCTTCAGCTTGAGATCCATCTCCTGTTTTTACAGGATGGGGGTTAAAGATTCTTAGGTATCCCATAAAGCTACCCACAATTATTTTATCTGTAGAGAGATTTTTAAAAAAAAGATGTTTGTTGAAGAAACAAACATTAGCAAATATCTTTGGAAATAAATTTTCTAATATCTAAAAGAGAAATCTAAAATTTAAAAGAATCCAATTCTGCTTCATATACAAAGGCCACTCTGCTCATAGAAGGTATAAGTAAAGGGAACTTATTTTAATAACATACAGTCTTTCAAAAATAGCTTTACATCACCGTTATTCAATGTATTAACATACTGCATTTTTTCGTTAGCCTTGATTTGGTACCAAAATCGTAACTTAAGTTAAAGCAAACCCTTTTTCAAAGGCCTAGTGTAAGGTTGTAAACTGATCTCATCATAGGGTATCAACTCTACAACTGATTGTGGCTGTCAAAAGCACTGTATTAAAAAGGATTCTGAGGGTTCAGATCCTTGTACTGGCCAGCTGCCAAAAGAATAAATAAAAAGGATTCTGAGGTCTCGCTAGATGAACTGCCCTAATTAACAATGTCTTGTCTTGTGTACATGAGGAGGAAAAGGTAGGATAGGTGTTGTGGGCTAAAATATGTCCCCCCAAAAGATACGGTGAAGTACTAACCCCAGGTACCTATGAACGTGACTTTATATAAAACAGGATCTTTGCAGGTGTATTCAAGTTAAAATGAGGTGACAGTCAATTAGGTGCATGTGATAGGAGTTGACCAGTGTCCCTTAAGAAAAGGCACATGGGGAGGAGAATGACATATGAAGACACAGAGACATAAGGGAAAAGATAGCCATGTGACAATGGATGCAGAGATTGCAGTGATGCATCTACAAACCTAAGAGTGCCTGGGGCTACCAGAAGCTGGAAGAAACAAGGAAGGATCCTAGAGGCTTCAAAGGGAGCATGGCCCTGCCAACACTGCGATCTCAGACTTCTAGCCTCCAGAACTGTGAGAGAATCAATTTCTGTTGTTTTAAGCCACCCGATTTGTGGTAGTTATACTAGCCTTAGGAAACTTATTTCCATCTACTTAAATGTACAAGTTCTACATATTTATTGAGAGCTTACTATGTGCCAGGCAAAGGTCTAGGTAGTTTACATGTACTAACTCATAAATCCTCATAATAACCCTATGAGAGAGGTACTATCTTGGGAACTTCAATCCGGAATGGAGACACATGGGTCATCAGGAATCTGGTGCTAGATGATCTGACTGCAGCTCCCTTAAAGTCTGCAAGGTCTCTGGAGCCATGCTCACTCCAGGCCCCACTAAGGCTCAGCCAGTTCAACCTCTGCCTGCATTTGGGGGAGATATCTCACTCTCATTCCATCTTTTTTACTTAAATTTATCATAGTTTCCTGTCACTCACGGCAAAAAAAAAAAAGATAATCGATGTAGAAATGAGAACCAGAGGGCCGGCCCGTGGCTCACTTGGGAGAGTGCGGTGCTGATAACACCAAGGCCACGGGTTCGGATCCCATATAAGGATGGCTGGTTAGCTCACTTGGGAGAGTGTGGTGCTGACAACACCAAGTCAAGGGTTAAAGATCCCCTTACCGGTCATCTTTAAAATAAAAAAAGAAAGAAAGAAATGAGCACCAGAGAATAAACTGCTGGAACCAAAACCTGCAGGGATATTTGGAATTGGCTCTTGAGCTGAGTTGGGACACAAAGTTCTAGGTACAGTTAAGCAGCTTTACACACAGCGAATGAACAGTTAATCAAGTTAGCACCTCTGGTCATCTGGGACCCTGTGCCCACTGCAGATGAAACTCTAGTGGACTGGACAGCTGCTGCCACAGGCCAAATAAACAGGAAGGAAGAATGCCAAACCATACATAAGATGGCTTTTTCTAAGGGCACTGGATAATTTAAAATAAGAGAACAACAGGTTTAAACCTCAAAATTCTCATCTCAGGGTAAAAAATAAAACTCAGGGTCTTTGGGACTCTGCAGAAAGAATTCTTACCACTTGTGTAAGTGGGACTTAACCACTGAGAATCCAATTCAGAGACTGATTCTTTGGGTTTTAAATTACATAACAAATAAGTTGACAAATACCTCCAGGTTTATTAAGTAAAAGCAATGATCAGAAAGAGAGATTATACTGTTATGATGGAGTTACTAGAAGAGTCTAGAAGGCTTACAGAACTCTTCAACCTCGAAACATTTCTAAAACACTCCCCACTGAGCTTCCTATGTATTCTGTCAAGCCCTAAGCTCCATTTTTACTTACTAAACAACCAAGATTTGACTTCGAAATAGCCCTCTCTTCAGGGATAGAGGAAGTCCGGATGGCCATTATAGTGACCAGATCTTCAAACTATGGTTAATTAATATGGGATTCCTCAGGGATTAAATAAACAGGCAGGCATTAAATAAAAAGCCATTAATGTCTTTTTTTTTTTAAGTGGTTCATTTCTTTTTTCTTTTTCTAAATAGTATTCAACTATTAATACTACTGAGTAGTGCATTCTACTATATGTTTATCTCATTAGGACCTCTTTTTGAAGTCTATAACCAAAAATATTCCAGGTCAATGAAAAAGAGGACAACTTAAGCCACCGTAATAGATAGTCATGGCTTCTCACCCATTCCCTCACTGAAGTCCAATTAGAGTCAGAGCCCCATGAACAATGACAAAGCTGTGTATGGTCAATGAATTTTGCTCAGATCCTGCCCTACGGGACTGGCAGTCATTTTCCCAGGTGTACTGAGGAAAGAGAAATACCCAAGCTTTTGTGACAATACTGAACGTTGGCTCTCAGTTACTTCTAATTCTGAAAGCCCAGAAAGATACTGTTCTTGCCAGGTATGGAGGCCCAGGGATAAATAAATGTTTAACATAGTTCACCCAGTGGGAGAACAAAGCCAACCCATGGTTTTTCACCCAGCTTCTGAGAGTTTAAAGGAAACATGTTTTCTTAGAAAATGATAGAACACCTGTTTGGTTCTCTAACAGGTACAGTGAGGGATGTTATATTGGGAGAGCTATATGAAAGCTAATGGAACTCTATCTCCCCACCAAGAAGAAAATAAAAATCAATAATACTCCAAGGCCAGATTTTGGATGGTTTCCAAAATTCAACAAAAAACTTAAATATGCAGATGTGGTGATTCCTATTGTATCCCTGATTAATAACCAAGTTTGCTATTAAAGTGTAATGGGTCTTACAGAGTTCGGGTTGATCAGTAAACCTTAAAGAGTAACTACAAATTCTTCCATTTCTCTAGTCTCTTCTTGTCAGCACCATGCTCACCCAGTGAGCAAACCGGCCATCCCTATATGGGATCTGAACCCGTGGCCTTGGTGTTATCAGCACCACACTCTCCCGAGTGAGCCACAGGCCGGGCCCTCTAGTCTCTTCTTGGAGCCAACTAATATAACTCATCGGCTAGTACACAGTTCTTGATCTGAGTAATGCATTTTTCTCCTTTCCAATACACAGGAACCAACGAAACAGTTTGCTTTCACCTGGTAGGGGCTGCAGGAACCAGGAACTTCATCTCAGAAAGGTTTGCTGGAGTTGGAAGAACTGTGAGTGAAACTCAGGGATCCCTGCTGCCTGGACCAGCAGTAAATGAAACTACTGCAGTCTTCCTCAAGCAAGCATCAGTGTTCCAGACCCCTCACAAATGAAGGCCTAAACCATGTCCCTAGTCCCTTCACCTAGCACCCAAGACCAAGATGTCCAACCAGACAGAAGGCCGGTCAAAGCTTAAAAAAAAAAGAAGTTGCCTGGTTGACCAGTTGCAAAACTGAGGAATGTAGCCCCCAACACGTCTTCCTTAAGTTAACACACAATCTTTACTGCTCCTTCATGTTAACGTTTTAAATTTTCCTTCTCTCTTCTTTCCCTCAACTGTTATATAGTTATGGACACTGTACATACCACTTATGTATGTGAGGCAGCAGAATATTGGAACAGGATCATGACAGAATAACAAGAGAAAGGGACATCACCCAGAGATTCTCAATTTGAAGGGCAGGGGCTGCCTGAAACTGCTTCTCAAGAAGCAGGTATACATGGTTTTCTCCCATTGCAGATAGGTTAGAGCACATGTATGTGCAGTTCTACGAGGGACAGTCGCCCTATGTGCAATATAAATATCGAGTAGCTAAACGATAAATGCAGAAGCTATTTTTCAGTTAGTCTCATGTGTCTTCCGCTCCAATTCCAGTAATCAACTCTCCCTCCAGCACACAGGTTGAAATGTAAGCTAAACTGGATTATTCAGGTTCTCTCTCCCCTCCCTCATTCTCACCATCTCTCTCAAGTGTCTGAATCTTAAGTTGAGAGAATTGGGAAAGCAGGTACCACTTCGAACGCATGGTGTCCAATTTCAACTGGACTCTCAAGATTAGCAAGGAACCCTTCTCCTGTATGTCAAGTCGGCTTCCCCTGAAACAACTTCAAGGTCCCTACTATCCTCCTTGAACCCTCTGGTCACCTCTGGTAAGGTTCCATGGACAATACTGTCTCAACTTCCCAACTGGGCCTGCAAACCTCTCTACATCTGTATCTATTCTCACCTTCTCGCCCTCCGTCAACCTCAACAAAAGTTCCCTGCCTCTTCAAGGTTAGCCCTTCCACCTGTACACCGGATCCCCTCTGTGACTGTCTTCTCTGGGTCCCTGCTCTATCAATTATACCTTCTATCCTACTACACATTGAATTTTTCCACTTCCCTTGACCCTACATTGTCCCCAAATCATCATCTTCCCTTTTTCCCTTTACAGCTAAGTTTCTTTAAAGAGCCATAAACACTCAATCTCCTCACCTCCCACTCCTCACTCACTGCAAATCTACATCTTGTTACCATTGTGCCCACTCATCCACTCGCGTCAAGGACACGAATGAACTGCTTGCTGCTAAATGGCACGGAGACGTTTAGTCCTCCTGTCACTAAATCTTGCCTCCCAAGCACCAGCCCAGCTTGTTTTCCTGCCTCTCTGCCTGCCCTTCTTAGAATCTTTCAATGGCTTCTCTTCCCAAACTTTCCCCTTTAATGCTCACAGTCTCCAACTTACAGTCCTATACTTCCTCCCCTCTTATTCCAACTTCTCTCCCTGTTCATTTTCATCCATTCTCAGGGCTTAAAATTCAACCAGCAAACTGCTCACTCCCAAATCTCTATCTCTGTTCTGCACACTAGACATTAACACTAAGGTCAAAGGTTCAGTTCCCCATACTGGCCAGCTGCCAAATAAAAAAAGGAAGAAAAAATGGTTCATTTAGAAACATAAATAAAAACGCAGATACCTAAGCTCACAGATACCACCCCACAATACAATCTCATAGGATCCTGTATGTCTGGGATAGAAAATCTTTATAAGTAATAATTGCCCCAGGAAATAACAACACAGGTGACCAGGCTTTGGGAAGTAATGATCAGTGTTTTTATCTATGTGGGACACACACACGTAATGACTTTTGTAGAACATACTTGGGAAAACAGAGGAAGCTGCTCACAGCTGGCCACAAAGTGGGGAAAGCAATATCTCTGCATATTGGCAACCCTCTGGTGGCACCCCAGTGAGGAGCTCCAATAGAAATGGATGACTGAACAGTATGTTATTCAGACAATCAGTAAGTACAGTTTCCAACCAAGGTGAGCTTTAGATAACTTAGGCAGAAATGGATTTGAAATTGTTCTCTCCGGCAGGTATTTTTGTGGCATGACTCTCTTATGTTGCCAAATAATAGGGGAATCATAAGCTTTAACAAACACTTGGGCTGAGCCAGGGTTAATCCAGGTTAAGGAACCTACCAAAGACACCCTCTGAATTGAAGGCCTTGCTGTCTCCTATACATGGGAGTGAAGGACCCAGATTTTCCTTAGAAACAATTCAGAAAGTGTTCAGTGCAGTTTAGTACCTCCCACTCTTCTTCTTTGATAATATAATTTTCCCCTTACACTGTTTTCCATAGATCCTACTGTTTTTATTATAGGCAAGAGAAATCAGTTAAAGAAAAATGAAAAGGGACAATATTTATATACACTGAATAAAAGAATGGTTATAAGTTTTCTTTTAAGAGGACAATGACTATTTGGATTGCAAAAAAAAAGTTCATGACCATAAATTATTTAAGCCAAATACAAATTTCAAATAGCAATGATATGAAACTAACCTGTTTTAAAGACCATTTAAAAAATATGAAGGTGCAAAGAGGAGTAATAATATAAGAATAAGATAATATGTGGATTTCAGTATTATAATAATGAAAGCAATGATTTAATAATTATTTTCTACTAACAAATAGAGCTAGCATAATTTCATTATGACATGAATGACTTTCAGATCCAAAAAAAATTTTTTCTCATCAATGAATTCAAAATTTTGACAAATTACCCTACAAGACCTAATTTTGCAACAAAAGAAAACAAATGAAGTGATATCATGTAATTTTTTATGAATTCAAGCAAATAATATGACAGAACCAACACAAACCAGAACAAAATAAAGAACAAAAAAACTATATTTATCAGCTTGCTACCTAAATAATACTTATAAGAAAAACTACCTTCAAAATTAGGGCATAATTATGACAGTGCAATTAAGTTCTACAAAGTACATATGAGGGGTCTTCAAAAAGTTCATGGAAAGATTCATATTACCTTTTAATTCTACTTTTCCATGAACTTTCTGAAGTAGCCTCATATTTACAAAGGCAAGTTGTTTTATTTGATCTCTTTAAAGCTTAGTTCCAAGGTGCATGGTCATAGTTGCTTACCTTGGCCATTTCCACTATTGTCAACATCAGCCAAACACAAACAGCCTTGATCAAATTCTTCTTTTTCTCCCAGAACAGTAGACCACCAATCACGGGCTTTAAACAAAGACATTTTCTTTCACTCTAAAAAGAAAGCATTTATTTATAATAAAAATCCACTTCACACCACAAATTAATTCTCTCTTAAAGCATAGCAAATTAAACTTGGACACCTTTGAGAAGAACATTTCTGTATTAAATTTAATTTGGGGTTCTGGCCAGTTAGTTCAGTTCGTTAGAACACCGTGTTATAAACACCAAGGTCAAGGGTTTGGATCCCTGTATGAGACAGCTGCCAAAACAGAACCCTTTAATTTTTTTGCCAAAACTTTTTTAATTTTTTGTATTTTGAACACAAATATGAAACCACAAATCCAAGTAGTAAGAAACATTAATCAGATATTTTGCAATCCTGTTGGGCTGAGAAATTATACATCTTTGTTGGGCTAATTCTCTCTTCTGAGACATTTAGGAGTAAATGGCACAAAAGTAACAAGAAAAAGAAAACATTCTTCGGAGGCAAGATTCAAATCTACCAACACTATTTAGCACATAAGAAATACCTAACTTCTTTTCATAGTTTGGTCTTCGGAGAGACTTCAGTATCTCCCGTTACAATGAATAGCCTAGAAGAACAAATGAGGTCAAATGGGGCAAACGACGGAGCCCAGAATTGGCACATTACGAGTACTCAGAAAGCATCCAGTCCCTCGCGCCATTCGAACTGTAGAAAAGCAAGATGGAAGAGGGAAAATCACACCAAAAAAGAACCAGGAGAACTGGGGTACAGGTTCATTTATACCCCTAACTACCTGTGTGTCCTCAGGCAGCCCACACCACCTCTCTGTACTTTGATTTCTCATCTACAGTGCGCATCTACCAGCCCGACCTACCTCTGAGTTACTAATGTGGTGGATGTGAAAGCACATTACAGCACAGCATCGCATACCCCGGGACTCTAAAACAGTTCATTTATCTAATATAAATGAGGCTTCCCTTCATGCTACGCTGATTTAAATAGTAGTTTGGGTATGCAGTCAAATTCTTATTCGCAAAAGTTTTCTATAAGGTCGCCACAAATACTGAATTAGCAAATACTAAGCCATTGCTCATAGGGAAAACACAGGTTTAGGTTCCTGCAAGCCTCTAGTCACGTTTTTGTCAACCAATCCAAACATGATGTTGTTTTCTGTGTGTTTCAGTTTAAGGATACCTTATTTATTGTTGATTCATGACCACTGAACTCAGGGCCAACAGTGCTATAACTCTGCCTGAAGAGAGCTTATCTAATTACACACACAGCTGCTCCTCAACTTACAATAGTGTTACTTCTCAATAAACCCATCCTAAGTTAAAAATACCATAAGTCGAAAAATGCACTTAATACACCTGGGAAAAGATCAAAATTCAAAATTCAAAGTATGGTTTCTACTGAATACGCATCACTTTCGTAAAGCTGAAAAATCTTCGAACCATCATAAGTCAGGGACCATCTGTATTTTCTCCATACAGTCTATTACAGCCTTCTTGTACTTAGAAACATGAGACAGCCCTTCAGCAGTACATTTTAGGGCCATTTTAAACACTGAAATTACCCCATCAGCACAAAAATGTGGCATAAAGTACTGTAGACCATGAAAGGACACTCGTTTACAGTATGAGAGCTGAAACAAGAAAGCAGAGAGTCACTGTTTTATGACAGCTGAGAACATGTGCATCAGGAGACTCAAATTTTTTGCTGCTTTGCACATGACCATGAGCGACTACAAAAGCATCACAAGCCCTGATTTGGGGGTCACAAATAAATTTTAGCAAGTAGGCAAATTCGCAAATACAGAATCTCAAATAATGAGGATCAACTGTACTTTTTAAAATGTAGATCAATCTGCTTCTTAAAGTAGGCCTCCCACATAAGCTGATCACAGAAACCAAGACCATTTGTGTTCATTCAAAGTTGGCCAAGAAACTGGCTGAGAATAATGTGGTGGTAAAAAGCGCAGACTGGAGGCAACCTGTGTGAGTTTGAATTCCTGTTTCACCACATACTAACCATGCAACTAGGAGCAGGTTACTAAAAGTTACTGAATCTCTCTACACTTCAGCTTCCTCATCTACAAAATAAAGATAGGAGTGGTGTTGTGAGAATTAAATAAGAATGCAGTAGAGGCAACCTCCAAAATTGGAGAAAATATTTTCAAATCATATATCTGACAAGGAGTTAATATCCAGAATATATAAAAAAGTCCTACAATTCAAAAATAAAAAAGCAAACAACCTGATTTAAAAATGGGCAAGGGAAATGAATAGACATTTCTCCAAAGAAAATATACAAATGGCTAGCAAATATACAAAAAGACGCTCAGTACCACTAATCATCAAGGAAATGGAAATCAAAACTACAATGAGGTAATGCCTCACATGCATTAGAATGGTTACTACCAACAAAACAGAACATAACAAGTGTTGACAAGGATGCAGAAAAATTGAAACCCTTGTGCATTGTTGATGGGAATGTAAAATGGTGCAAGCACTATGGAAAACAGTATGGAGGTTCCTCAAAAAATTAAAAAAAGAAACATCATATGATCCAGAAATTCCACTTCTGGATGTACATCCAAAAGAACTGAAATCAGGGTCTGGAAGAGATATTTGTACACCTTTGATAAGTGGCCACAAGAGACATAGCTGGAGTTTGAATTATAAACACACATGACTGTACCAAGTGAAAACAGCTACCATGTGAAAACGGCCTTGAAAACCTTTGCTAGTGAACAAATTTTTTCAGCTTGTTAAAATGTAGGACATAAATCCTCCAATGTGAAAAGCTAACTTTCCAACATTGTCTATAAATAGAAATGTCTACACCAAACACTAATTTCTCATGGATTTCTAACACAAAATTGAAGATCTATTTCTATTGACAAAATAATACAGGCAACACTTAAATCCTTCTTGTTTCTCTCCTGCACTATCAATTTCTCCTTACTTACCTACCACTTTGCTAGTTCCTGAAAGCCCTCTTTTCCCAGACATTTTAGTGCCTTGCTATTCAAGGTATAATCCCTGGACGAGCAGTATCAGCACCACACAAGAGCTTGTTAGAAATGTGGAATCTTGGCCTCCCCAAACAATATCCCCAGGTGATTCACTCACACCTTAAAGCTTGAGAAGCACTGATTTAACTAATACGTAAAGGCATAAGTGGGTATTTTCTATAGTGGAGTTCTACCTTTCCCACCTCCCCTGCTTATGGTAATTTTTTTTTTTTTTCTTTTTGGCAGTTGGCTGGTACAGGAATCCCAGGGATCCGCATCTCTGACCTTGGTGTTATCAGCACCATGCTCTAACCAACTGAGCTTGGCCAGCCCTCCCTTCTTTTTCCTGCCACTAGTTGCCTTTCCAGGGCTTAAAAAGAGAATTATTTTTCAAATCAAAGAACTTAAGCAGCTGGAAGTTATCCATCCTTCACCTAGTCCTCCCATGTTATAGGAGAAGCCCACAGAAGTTATATGATTCCCCTAAATCACTCAGCTAATGGCAGAACCTTGCTTGTACAATCTCTAGACCTTTGTCTCAAGCTGCCAATGCCCTGCAACTAATATCTGAAAAATTGAAAAAGCATGTGTCAGTAGAGGTATTTGTGTTTGGTTTTAATTTTCAAAAAGAGTGTTGAGGGAGGGCTAATTTTAAACCTAGGTCCAACAAATGGCTCTTCCACAACTACCTTAATTATTTCAGACCAACATTAACACTGACTTTCATACCAGGGCAAGACATAAGGTAATGCATAGCAGAATTTCATAAATTCCATTACATCATAATCCTGTATGTTGGTTCCCCCATGTCCCAAGTGGTATCATGTATCATTGTTGGCAATAATTTATTGAACAATAAGGACTTACATTTTTAAAGAGTTAAAGAACAACAGAAAAACTAAAACTTGGGGCTGATGATCAGTAGCCACCGTATGTTTCCCAACTGCCTCTCTCTCCAGTTCCAAAGGCAGAAGCGGAGGAAGATGCACTGCCCACTCCCAAGAAATTAAGAAACCACAAACTCTCACCTATGCAAAGTTGCCATAGCATTAATTTCCTTTGCTAAAAATTGGTGGATTTTAGGGCCGGCCCGGTGGCGCACTGCTACAGTGCGCCGCTTGAGAGTGCGGTGGCGCTCCCGCCGAGGATTCAGATCCCACATACAGACCGGTTCCCGCTCACTGGCTGAGCGAGGTGCGGGCGCAGCACTGAGGGTTGCGATCCGTTGCCAGACACGAAAAAAGACAAAAAGGAAAAAAAAAAAAAATTGGTGGATTTTAAAAAGCAACCTAGGCAGCAGTACAACAGATTTCAAAGGGAAGTTCCTTTCTACTTTGGCTTCAAAGATGGATCTGATAGTGAGTCTGAATGATGTTTGGTTGCTGAAGATCCCTGCTTATGCACAAAAGGCTTAATTCTTTGGCTCAAACCAAGCAAACACACCTACAAAAATTTTCTCTTTGCACACAGCAGTTGTGTTCCTAATAAGCATGTATATAACCAGTTTTTTACTTAATCTTGAATAGCCTTACAAACACTAGAGTACCTTGATATCTAATGGAAATCTAAGTTAAATAATTATCCCATAACTAGTATGTTTTGCAATTTAAACTTTCAGAGGGGTCCACTTTTGGCATAACACGTGAGAAATTCCATGTACCTGCTCCCCAGTGAAACAGGTGAAAATTATTTTTAAAAACAACCATATAAAGTCTCTGAAAATGGCCTTAAGGGCATATAGCAAATGGAGAAACACATTTATTCAAAAAAATCTTCTATAAGAACAGCAATAGCTCTCTTGCTTCCTGTCGCCACGTGACCTGCTTGTACCCTCCAGCTGCCTGCCGCTTTCTGCCATGAGTAGAAGCAGCCTGAGGCCCACACCAGATGCAATTATCCCAGAATTGTTTTCCTGATAATAAATACTCAATTAATCTTGTACACCTGAATCCCTGACTCTGGCTTTACTTCTTTTGTGCCTGACCTTGGATAGTTGCTATCAGAAGTGGCACCTTGAGAAGAACACTAAAGATTTGATAATAAGATGGA